CCATGCAAAACTGTATTCTGTCACTTACTTCTGTGTAACTGTCACTTTACTGCTTATCTGGCTTGGTAAGACAGCCTCTGGAAGTGTATCGTACCCATGAGTAGCAAAGTGACTCCTCAGAAAACTCTGAAAAATAAATAAATATACAGCAACAAATTGTTGCATCTTCAGAGGCCTGTGTTTTAAAGGGGTTAATGCAGATCTCATCAGGGAATAATCAATGGACAAACTTCAGTGATGGAGGCTGGGTCAGCTTTGGTTTTACATTTTCTCATCTCCAAAGAAAGAACGGTCTCAGTTTCAAAAAGTTGTAAACCATCCTTGCTTGTCTCTGGGTTGAAGCAGCAGCCACCTGAAAAAAAAGAAAAAGAGATTGTCAGTAGCTTAACTGCAAGCTGCCCATGCATTATTAAACATAGTGAAAAAGGAACAGTCTAATGAAATAAACTTTTTGATAAATGTGATGAAGTTAAAAAAAAAGACCATCTATAAAACAGTGCTTATTAATAAAGGTGATATATTCAAAGACACAGAATGGACATTTTAGATTTTGTTTTTAGTAATTTTCACAAATTAAATACAACAAAATGGCTCCAGTGCAAATATCCTCAGCATTTCTATCACTCTTCACAATGTTTAATTGAGAAGCTTTATTGAGATAAACTAAATATGATATTTCAAGAAAAATATATACCTGTTGCAATGCTGATTCCATGTAGAATATTATTTTTTACTTTTCCAAGAAGAATCGAATCCACAACGACGTTAGATTTTATTAGGTTGATGGCAACTTGATCTGGCTTGTTTAAAGACCTGGATAAATATACAGACATGTAGACAAATATAAATATACACTACCGGCCTTCTCTCAGTGAGCTTCATGATGCAGTCACCTGAAATGGTTTTAACTTCACAGGTGTGGATTGTCAGGGTTCATTTGTGGAATTTCTTGCCTTCTAAATGGCGTTGAGACCATCAGTTTTGTTGTGCACAAGTCAGGTTGGTACACAGCTGACAGCCCTATTTGACAACTGTTAGAATTCATATTAGGCAAGAACCAATAAGCTAAGTAAAGAGATTACTTAGACATTACTTTAACCTCCTAGGACCTGCCGTCCACATATTTGGACATCACACTTTGGGTTATTTAGACCAAAATACTCAATTTTGCTCTACAAGGGCCTGATATCCACTTACGAGGACATTGTACTGCTACTGTTCTACCAAAATTTTAAACGAATATCCTCATATGTGGCTCTCAATTTTCTTAGAAACAAAAATCAGGTAAAAAAAAAAAAATCTGGTAATTCTTTGTTTTTACATTCATCAGGTCCCACTCAGCCCAAATATCAAAGAGAAATTAAAAATGCATGCCGTGGAAGAGTTCGGGTCTTAGGAGGTTAAGAACTGAAGGTCAGTCAGTCAGGAAAATTGATAAAACTTTGAAGGTGTCCCTAAGTGGAGTCGCAAAAACCATCAAGTACTACGACATAACTGACTCACACGAGGACCACCCCAGGAAAAGAAGACAAAGAGTCACCTCTGCTGCTGAGGATAAATTCACCCGATTAAGATAAATGCCACACAGAGTTCTCTATATCAACTGTTCAGAGGAGACTGCACGAATCAGGCCTTTATGGTCAAATTGCTGCTAAAAAACCACCACTAAGGAAAAATGACAAGCAGAAGAAATTTATTTGGGCCAAGAAGCACAAGAAATGGACATCAGACCAGTGAAAATCTGTGCTTTGGTCTGATCAGTCCAAA